GATTTTGACATGGGTATTTTTGGGAGTGAATGGTGAGTGAGTGAATGGTGGCAATGGCATTTGAAGCAGCGCGAATTTATTTTTTGGGCTGACGCGTTTTTGCTGCCGTCACCGTCGTAATAAGCTCCCTTACTAATGCTATTGGAGCCGTTTTGCTTACCAGAATACAAGATCATAAGGGTGTTACAACAATCCTATTTAAATAAACATGTACAAAATGTTTTGGGGTTGGAATAGCATATGCACTTTGACAAAGCTTGTAACCGTAATAAAACTGCAAAGGTACGACTGTGCAGTAAGAACTAACCTTAAAATGAAAGCTGGGGGTTTATGAATGTTTAAAAGAGGTAATAGCAGAGTTGTACAAACAGTAGAAATCCACCGAAATGTCTATGTTTTGGTTGGAAGTTTGTTGCTAGGGCAGATGATGACATAATCTGGATAATCAAGGTTAGCATATTTCATGAAATATCCCAATTTAAGCTTATCCAAGGTTTGCATTAACGCGATTAGTGAGACAAACCCTCACAAAAAAGGGGCCCTAGTTGCAGACTTTTCAAAGTAGCTTAACTAAAATGCTACGTGTCTTTAAAATGTGCGTTTAGAGTTGATGAGATGGTACTTCCGCTGAGATGAAAAAGGCCAAATTTCAATTTGTAAAGGATGATGAAGAAAAACACAGTATGGTTAAAAACAAGAACATCGTCAACAACAACAACTTCAACAATAGTCCTGGCTAAATTTGGAACCAATTAACATGTTTTCATCTTGTCGACGTTACTTAGAGTAGCTACAATTCACGACTAAACTAAAACACATTTAACCCCTGCACACACTCTCTTAACGTATCGTGGAGACTGAAGTTTTAAGCAGTTTTAAAAAGGTCAGAATGGTTTAGGGCTTGCCAAGAATTATGTCTCGGACAATCAGCAAAACCAGTTAAAAGACATCAAAACAAATATATGACAAAACGGCGACTAAGACTCCTATTATTTCCTGTTTCAATACCTAAGCTCAGATCCCACTGTCTCGCTGCTCAACAATTAGGCGTGACTTAAGCCTGGTTTTAAACACCGTTTGTTTGTTTGTTTTTCGTTTCGAGCAGAATGGGAAGGAGACAACTTGTTGCATTCCACCTGCACGAGGCGCGAAAACCGTCTGCTATACCGAATTATTTTGTGCTCGTGGAAGTCAAAGCATCAACGGCCCGGAGTAGCAGAAATCGTTCACACATATCGAGCATCATGCCGGTGCGGTTGGCCGACAGGGTTTGGTGAACTAATTTCCAGTCCTCACTCAAGAACATTTACTTCCGTCTTAGCGGGCAAATAAGTGTTCACAATGCACCAAAGTATGGCACAAAACCTATCCGATACGTAACGCTTCACTTTCGAGATCGGCGCTGCGCAGCTTCGCTCCCTCACAAAATTTGCGCCGCCCAGAGTACAGTGAACAGAAGACCTTTCAGGTATGATTTTCATGGCGGAGCAAACGCTATTTGGTATGGTATTAACACAGCCTATGGTTTGATGTCACTTGTTTGAAAACAGTCAGAGAGATGAAGCATTATCAGCTTAAGCTACATTTTGACATCATTGTCAGACACGAAAAATTAATTCGAATCCCATGGGAAGAATTGATATCAAACCAATTAGAACAGGGCTTTTCATAAGAATTGTTTCTGGGCCAATCAACAGGTTTCTATTCCGGTTTCTTTTACTGTACATGCAAATAGGCCATCTACGAGATGACGTCTGAAATTCATTTTTTTTTCATATTCAAATTTGGTAATCCCAGGGAAGTCTAAATATCAAAAGCTTTAATTTGCATAAGAAAACAATGCCCCGAAGGATTCTGGTAGTAGTTAGTAGTAAAATGACGCCATCTTGCAAATTGATGGCTTATTACAAGCGAGTGATTCCGGGTTTGAACGTCATATCATAGCTAAATGTAGGCGATTTTTAGTGGGCTTGAATTGTTGAGATTTTATTTAGCTTCAAAGACAGAAGGATAATGTTCCCATCCTCCATAAAACGTCGCATTAGAAGGTTTCACGTCGTAGTCGTGCATTGGACGCGTCAAAGAAATATATTACGAGGCGTCATGTAAGTGTAGAGCTGTTGGTTTTTGACGTTGTCGTTGTGGTTAATTGCATAAGCTCCCTAATGGATTCTTGTGGTATCCCGGTACTCTTAATAGAAGTCAAGGTCCAGGGATAAAAACGTGACCGTTTTCATTAAACAAGAACATTACAGTTTCGGCTTAGAAATTTTGTAAACCTTTTGGCAACTCTTCAAAAACGTCACTTCGTTTACTAGTCAAAATTCTTCCCTTTTTTGTGAAAGGGCGAAGTCCAACCCTCCGTCAATTATGAAAAGGGAGGCTTATTTGAAAAAACCCGTATCTTGAAACAGATCATTTATACTGCTTCAATTTTAGTTGAGATTTTAGGGCTATATTGCTTGCGACATCTTGTTATTGGGAACATTTTGTTTTGTATGAGAAGTTTGGCCAACATGTAAGATCTTTGGAACAGGTCCATGATTTTACAGTGAAACTCGATATAACAAACCTATAAATAAGGAAGTTCTCGGTATAATGAATGATTCTTTTTACCCCAGTAGTATTAAAGAAACCTCGTTATAGCGAACAAATTTTGCCACTCCCTTGGCCCTTTGCAATGTCGAGGTTCCACCCCACCTCTTCAACTATGTATCATGTTTATCAGTATACGTATATGTATGTGAATAAAGCATTATTATTATTATTATCATTATTATTATAGTCCATTGTAGCTTCATTTAGCCTATGTTCCTGCTCCCTTTTTTTGTGTAGTCCCAACTACTGTATCTAAACGCCCGGAACAGCGTGTAAAGAGAGGGGGTGGTGGTTGGGGGGACTCACATAAAAACGTGACGGGGATTCTCGCCGGAAAACTCAAATTAAACCCCTAAGGGAGACCAATGTGGGTGTGGCTCAAGCTTAAACTGACCCCTTAGGAAGATTTCTGTACTGTATGTCAGGACATTTTTGTAAATTTCTTTATGCACAGTACTAAGAGATACCTGAATGGTCCAATATAGTGACCTTCCATCCCAAACACCCTAAGTGAGACAAAATCTGCAATTTACACCCCAAAGTGAGACGACGAGCATCCCCTACACTTTTATTTCTGAGTTAGCGTTGTAAAACAACAACGAAATATTTCTTTGGTCAGAAGTTTGCTAAACTTACAAAATCTCTTAATGCCGCACCATTGCGGTTGTTGCATAACGTATTCCAAAGTCGTGAAAGGCGCAAGAGATGTTGCGTAATTAGAAGCTTAGTCCTAACGCCACTGGGTCACTTGCTGACCTAAGCTTATGGTTGTGCCTTGAACAGCATTCGAGGGTATTGTATATATTTCTTGAAATATTCCGAGCAGTTTCCGCTTAAAATCTTAGACATTATACAAAATAACACGAATTAAGCGGTTAAGTCAGATGCCAGACTTCCTGTCCTATTATTGACCACTTGGACTTAACTCATAATGCTACTGATTAGTTTGCCGGTTAATGTAACTTAATCCTAGACTAAAACTCCCTAATTTTTAAACCTTGTCTATCGTAGACCAAACCACCAAATACCCTTTAATGACAGCGGCACAAAGTCTGTTAAAGATAGTACAAAGTACAGACACACGCTTGTTTTTTTCAGAAAAATTTACAAGTTTGGCATGCCAGCAAATAGTGATGGCTAATCTAAGGCGGGACAAGCTTAGGGAACCAATAACAAGAGAGAAAAAAGAAAAAAAGAAAAATTATCTATCAAAAACGACAATTTACGCTAGGGTACGTTAAGTCTTAACATTGTCCATGATGAAAAACTAATAATCAGAGAATTAAACTTTAGAAACAAAGTGCGAAATTTGAGAAAGCCGCTGAGCTCTGCACAAACGTCCGCAAGTTCTCACTTCTCACAAAATTGCAATCCCCTCCTGGAGTAATGCTTCATAAATCGACTCAGGATTTTGACTTAATCCGGACGTACTTTTCTTGTTTCCACATAGGCAAAGAGCTCTGCACAAACGTCCGCAAGTTCTCACTTCTCACAAAATTGCAATCCCCTCCTGGAGTAATGCTTCATAAATCGACTCAGGATTTTGACTTAATCCGGACGTACTTTTCTTGTTTCCACATAGGCAACGTACGGTGCACAACTTAAAAATACCCAAACCGTTAAAACTTTATTCCTTCTAAATCGCTGAGCTAACAATAATTTAATTCTTTTGGACAAGAATCCCAGAACAGATACATCGGTTTTCTGTATACAAAAAAGCCCAATAGTCACACCTTACGGGAGGGTACACCGGGAAGTTCCAGTTTCAAAAGGCTGTTAATTGAATTATTCCATTTGACCGCGGGTATTTTGTTGACTTTTGTTTGACTCGACCTGACCTATGTGAATCAAAGAGCATTTTATTGCAATGATCCCTCCCCCACAGACTAGGTACTACGGTGTCCATGTTTTTGTCTGCACATATGTGCACTTCATTTTGTTTTTGGGAAATAGGATTTTGTCATGGCACTCTATTACACCCAATAACATGGTGCCACACAAACAAAAACATCCTAAGAACTTTAGCTTTGACGTGGAAAATCTAACTGCAGTTATAAACCCGTTTGGGATTGTATATCCAAGAGATAATCTCCCTAAAGTGTAAAGTCATTACGTTATTTAATTGGCTATCTCATTCCATGTCTGTCGTCGACAAAAAGCGACTTTACCCATCCAACCATAAGATACATGTCAAGGCAGACCATATTATCTGCATGTCACTCCCAAAGGGACAGAGGCAGATGCATTTTCGATCGATTGGAAAGCGGTGATGTTTACTACGATCGCTCGCGCTGTGGCCAAGGCACTAGCTTTTGGTGTGTCATTCACGGGGTCGGCGGTCTGTATGTAATGAACTGAAATTGGATTTGAAAACACACCTCACCTTTGGCTCATTATTTCAACAGCAGGGGCTCTAGCTGGAGCACAAAACTGACAGACGCAAGTATAGCCACCATAGGAATCTTAGGACTTCAACGATGCGTTTCTCACGTCAAGCAATTGCTTTGGCCTGTGTTTACATGAGCCTACAAGTGCTGGCAAACGACACAAGGTAGGCAACAGTTTTTCCTCGGTACTGTAGTTGCGAATTTCCACTGGTCAGTAGTTTAAACCCGCAGCGGTTTGTTAGATTTACAGGGTACGACATCTTTACCTCCGGCGTCCCTCTGGAAGTAGATCCGATACTCAACCCAAACACGGTCTGCAAGAACACGCCTTCCTTGAGCAAAGAACAAATGGAACTGTGCAAAAGCCATGCTGACGTTGTGGCGAGCGCTTTGCAAGGGGCGCAGATGGCTGTTCACGAGTGTCAAGAAAGGTTCAAGTACCATCGATGGAATTGCTCTGCTTTGGAAACCAAAAATAAGAATCCTTTGACAAGTGGCTTGCTTGCGAGAGGTACGTTGATACTAGTCTACCAAACACAAAGGCTTCTGGAAGGCTTCTTAATTAAGAATACGTCTAAGTCTCTTATAGCATAGTGACAAACACCTGGGAAGTACATGCTAAAGGGGAATTATCATTAAAGGAAGTTTGTGGTCTTTGTCTCTGACCTTCATCTCATAACTAGAGTTTAATCGGCGTTTCTTAAACTTCTTTGGGCAGCCTATCAGAACTCTTAAGCGATCTTTGGGAATGCGAGGCTTTTCAGTTGCTTGGCACTTCGTTATTGCCAAAACAGACGTCATTAGGGCATTAAAAATGATGAAAACAAGTCAAGACATAAAAATAGCAAAGGTTTATTTATATAACAGAGCTACCTTCAACGTGAAAGGTCTCGTTAACAATTACCGCCCTTGTAAGTGTAAACATGCGATGCTGGAATATAAGACGATTAGATCTCCAGAGAAGTGCATAAAAACCTTCGTCAATCTCATCCGATTCACTTTGGCGTACATTTAGGTCTGCTGCAAAGAAAAGTCCTCTTCTTAGAGTGCTTAATGTACTCAAATTGGAATCTCCATACACTGGGCTTGATACTTCTAACAAGGGCTATAATCCTTTGATTGGATGCCATCCTTTGTAGCAAAGATCCATTTCATCTCATCACACACTGAAGCTTACAGCGCGAAAGGTACCTCTTTGTGGCTTTCATCACTCTTTAGGATTTCATAAAAACGCGTCCTATACACACTTGGAACCACGTTGGTCCGTATAATAACAGTATCACAAAAAGTGTCTGCTGAACTGCTTTTAATTTAAATTTAATCAAACGAATATGTGAAGAATGGACATTGATGCACTTCCTCCATGAACCTTTCACTCTTTTAACAGCCTAAGAAGAGTGAAGGTTGTACCTTTTGCGTCCGTGAACAAAATAGAATGGCATGACCATTAAACTGAAACTTTTTGCCTATACTTTGGCACATTACTATCTGTGTTTTAGTAATCTGGGCAAAACGAGTTTATCGCAACCTCAATCTTTACCTTCGCTCACGTCCGGCTCTGGCCTTTTTTTCGGAGATAGCGATCGAAATTTTCCGTGTAATCCCACAAAACGCGCGCCTAGTTCATTAACTTGTTGCCACTTGCAGGTTTTCGAGAGACCGCTTTTGTGCACGCCATCATCTCAGCAGGGATGACACAAGCCATTGCTACGTCATGTAGCATGGGAAAACTGGCGACTTGTAGATGTGACGAAACCATTACTGGCGAAGGACGGGGCTGGAGCTGGGGAGGCTGTAGCGACAACGCATTATATGGTGCAAAGTTCGCAGCCAAGTTTATGGATTCTCGAGAGAAAGGATCCGATATAAAATCACTGATGAATCAGCACAACAACCAGGCGGGTCGACTGGTAGGTTGTTTGATTAAACGAACTTCATACATAACTCTCCCCCCGGCTACTAAATCAACTTTTTAAGAATTAGATATAAACGACTTTTGCAATACTGTAGTCATACAAATAAATCTTATTCTTGTAGGATTTCGCCCACGGATTTAACACTTAGAACCACCTTGTACAGCATAATAAACAGCACCACAGAAAAGTACTGGTCGGTAGCTTTCATTTTATTGCACACCATATGATTTCGCCTACAGACTCTAAGTAAAGTTAGCACCAACTAAGACAAACAAATAGTTAGTACAACGGCAAAGTACTGCTAGAGAGGATATTTATTTGACTGGTAACACTATAAGTCATTTAGTCTATAGACTAAAGAACTGCTTTATACTTGTTCATGTAACTTAATTGACTCGGAAAGTACAATGCTTTACCGCCGATGATACACTGAGGCTTAAGTCGCGACACAGGGTCAGCTATCTGTCATGTATACATCGTTTAAGTTTCACCGACGAGAACATTCCAAATAGGTACGAAATAAAACAGATGTTTGCAGTTGTTAGATAACAAATATCAACTGTTAAAGAACAGCTGAAGAAGTAGAGTGAAAAGAGTTTAAATCTTCTTCTGTTTTCTCTTCCTTTTTACTTCCTTGTTCGTCCGATTGTGCGAGGATATCTCGCCCACACGTGCCTGGAAGCACTGGGTTCTCTTTGCGTGAGAACCACAGTACTTCAAATCCAACATGCTTTACAATTAGTCGGGGTTTCACCGAGCCCTTAATCCAATAGCAAGACTCAAGCACGTGGGAAACTTTTGATAAACTCTTGTCTCGAATATTTTGTTGACATTAAGCTTATCTTTTAAGTTGGGTAACTTCAGGTTACTGCACTCAGCGCCGGCAGGTTGAGTAAAGGGGCAGTCTTATTGAACGTTAGTACCATCCACTTGAAATGTGGAAAATCTCAGACAGGGACCCGGTCTTGCTAAAAATAGGGATAACAGTACATAAAAACTCGGTTAAAAACGGTATTTGGTTAGAGAGGGATAGGAAAAAATTGATAAAAAGTCTACAGAAAACGTTGGACCAAGATACCTTCATGTTTAACAGTGTGATTTGGGAAAATTGAAAAATATATGATTAAGGTATCTTTTCACCTTGAAGAATGAATCTGTCTTTGTGTTCTATTCAAAGTCATTTTGTGCATCACAAGCTACAGGAATTTAACAGGAAAAAAATTGTGAGAATCAGAGAATCATGTTATCGTGATTCTCTCTCTGGGCGTGACCATGAGGCAGGAACTGCTTCCTTGAAGGTTCAATAGTTTGTCGATGGAACCCAGTAGGCAGCGAAAGAGTTGATTTCCTGATCGGAAACCCTCTTGATTGCTTGAAAAGAGTTCCTTCCGTGCTGTAACATGTATATTTGTAGTTCCTCTTCAGTGGTAAAAGGAAGCCCAACGTGACCATAACCACAGAGACACGCTACACACAATTTTGAGAATATTTTTCGATCTTATAAAGGAAATTCAGTCATTGCCTTGGTTCCCTTCACTCTACTGCAGAAGGAAGTGTCTTATCCAATTGTGAATTTCTCAAGTGTGTGAAGGAACATTTCAAGCAAAATGCAAGTCATATGTAGACATGAAGAGTAATGTTGCTTACGGTGAAGTGATCAAGAGGTATCCCGAGATATCGCTCTTTCTTCTCGAAAAATGTTTGGCTCTGATACCTCATTTTTCGATTTAAACCAAGGGTGAATTGAAGGAGCTAATTATCTGTTTAAAACAGTTGGATATTTTCCTGCTGACTTCGTTTCAACTAGCCTAATTGGCCTTTAAACGCGTCTAAACATTCGTGCATCACGCAGCAATTTCAGCACATGCAAAATTCATTTTTGAAGTTCAAAAGGTCGCCTTGCGAAGCATCAGCCGCAATTCAAGTTAATTAGAAACAGACATTTCTTGATAACCTGAGTGTATACCAAGGGCATACAGGTTATCTCTGAAACAAAGAAGTGCTTGGTGTATTCAATTTCTTTCGCCTTATCCGGAGGAGATAATTCCCTGAAGGTGTTTATGACACAGGTGAATACGGTGAATATCTTTTCTTATTTTTGTGTTATTTTCATTCTAATTCATCACTTCCATGAACCCAGCGAAGGCTAATCGTGAATAGAGAAAGAAAACAAAAGTCACATTTGCAAAAGCAATTAGCACAAAAAGTGGTTTTCGCATGAGAAACGATTTTAGGCCTCCAGTAGGCATCCCATTCATAAACAAACACAAGACACCTGTTGGGATCGAGTGATTATTCAAACGAATGGCGACTAATAATAACATAGGAATGAAATATTACTTTCGACACAGAAAATGAAATGGCCGATACTCGTTTTCCCAGATGTGTCTGGCTATACTGCTGTTACAAGGTTCTTTTCAACGATTCATTACAAGGAGGGGTCGAGCACTCGCTCGGACAACATGGATTCTCCCTCTCAAGTCACTTTGGTCTAGCATTGCCGTTCTGAGTTCTCCAAAAGTGGCGAACCCGGTGGCCTCAAGCAAAGTGCGTATGTACCTGGTCCTAGGTCTTCCCTCTCTTAACCCTTTAAGCCCCAATATCCACATACAAATTCTCCAAACTGATCTCTATAAATTTCCTTAAAGAATGAGTTAAGAAAATTTGATAAAAGATCAAAGTATTTTCTCTTAGGTGATGATTTTCTTAATTCTCATAACCTCACCTCATGACAATGTAGGGATATCGTTAAGAGAAAATTTATGTTGGTCACTATTGGGACTTAAAGGGTTAATTTGTCCGTGTTGTGGCTGTCACAACACAAGCTTCGAGGTGCTTCGATGCCTCCTCCTCTTTGTGGCTACTCTCATTCTTCTTTCCCTGACCTCTCTAGAAACTTTTGGGAGGTGACCGTACAGATCTTCATTTGTAATGGGATCCCTCCAAGAAACGTTTAGTGCAGTGCGAAGCATTCTAGTATGGGCACCATCAATTTGCTTTTCTGTGCTTTAGGTCCGAGTCCATGTTTCGCTGCCGTAAAGGAAAACACTCTCAACTGTTGCCAGGAATACCCTAACCTTTAATTCCCTACACAGTTTAGATTTCCAAATTTTGCCCAACTTATATTGCACGCCACCAATGCTTAAGCTTTTCTCGTTTTCATGTCTTTGACAGAGTCATCGATCCAAGAACCTGGGTATTTTAAATCAGCCACTGTTCCTTTTGGTTTTCATTACTCAGTGCTGGATCTTGATTGTGGACAATTGCCTGAGTTTTAACTGCATTTAGATGTAGTCCGACATTTGCGGCTGCTTTCTGTACCTTAAGTGAAGTGAATATTGTCTTAAACTATAATTCACGCCGTTTTTCTCTAAAAGAAAACTTTCTCAAGGTTCACTCTTTGGTAGGCAGATTCCTCTCTGAAGACACTCTTCAATGAATGAAAGGTCCTGGAGAATGTCCGACATCTTTGTTGGACACTCAACTTTTTAAGTCAGATATTTTCTTATTAAAGAAGAGCATCAGCGGTCCACGGGTCTCTGAAACATCGATTTGCGCTTCTTTTGTCCCGTAGCTGAACTATATAAAGGACAGCGATTGCAGTTTTGCTTAATTGTTTGCGTGATAACTCTTTGAATGAAGCTTAGTTTGGTACGAGGAGCTTTTTGTGAAGAATTTCATTTGCTTGTCTGTAATGATCTGTAATAAAACTGTCTCTAAGACGGAGACTTTTCTATGGTGGACATCAGTGGCTTGCTAGTTCTCTGCTGAGTTTCATTTGCTTCTCTGTAACTATAGTAAGGATCAGTGGTTGGCTGGTCTCAGCTGAGCTTCATTTGCTTCTTTGCAAGTAAGTCTAAGTCTCCGTAACTATGGTGTAAATCAGTGGTTGGATGGTCTCTGCAGAGATCCATTTTGTTTGTCTGTATCTAACAAAACTTCCTGGGGCAAATACCTGGTGGACTTGTTTGTTTGGCTGGTCTCAGCTGAGTTATACTTGTTTTTCTGTTGCAAAAGAAAGTTAAGGCGAAAAAAAGTACAGTAGGCCCTTATTTAATTCAGAAAATCTTCTCCTTTGAAAATTTGATAATGGCATGATTGAGTTGCTTTACAAATTATGACTGCTGTTTAAAAATTATCTCTTTTAAATGCTCATTTTGTAAAAAAGATACATCCAGTTCTCACACTTATCGATACTGTGAACGAGGTTCCAAAGTCGGATCCTTATTTCCGTTAGAACGCTTTATTTGAATTTCAGTGCTCAAGGACTATTAATCATTTGAGCTGCGATCAAACACTCCCTTCTCTTGCAAAACTCCAGTTTACCAATTAAAAGAGAAACAACTAAAGAGACTCTTTAAAGGAATAGATGGTATCAAATACTTATTGAAAATAATTTGCAACCATAATTAATCTGATTTCTGGCCAGACATCGCTAAACATGAAGAGACTATACACAGACTGGCATGAACACATTCAAGTGCTTTGTTTACAGCTAAGTGAAATGGTCGATGTCACCACTGAAGAATGAAGAAGTATTGAAAGATCCATTACTTATAAAATCACTTGCGAAGTAAGAGATCACACGATCGAGCTCTACCTTCGATTTTTTGGGAATACAAGGCATCGCATGTATGGTAACGCTTTTAAAGGAGGATCAGTCTGCAACCATGTTCAATCGCTTTAGTGATCGGAAGCAAGCAGTTATAGTCAGTAAGGCCTCTAAAATCTTTGAATAGAGGCTTAAAAGAGACAAAGAGGCAGACATGAATACATTCAAGTGCTTTATCTACAGTAAAGTGAATAAGATCGCGTATTGCCATTATTAAAAGATCCATTAATTCGGGATTACAACAACTCAGCAATTGACCAAAGCATCTTAAAGTTACTAATTCTCCAAAACCTGGCTTATTTCAAAAACTAAAACTCACTTATCATTATGCTCTTGAAGGTATAAATGTTTGTCAAAGTTAACAACGCAAGTTTATCAGGACTATTCACCCTCTCTGTGGTTTACATCTTTCTTTTTGGCAAAATTCCATTTCCTTTTCAATCCCCCATGTAGCAACCAATTTCATTTCCAAGCTGGAGGCAGCGTGGCCGAGTGGTTAGAGCGCTGGACTTCCTGTTAAGTTTTTTAAGTTTTCGACCCCACTAGCATTAGTGCTATAAATACTGCAGAGAGTAAATAACGGAATTATTTTTTTATATATTTACTCGACATTTTAGAAGACCAGCAAATTCCATATCTCATAGTAATGGCAAACAGATGACATAACGCGAAAGTATCTCCAGAAAGGTTTCAGGCCACACCAAAAGATTACATCCAGAGACTTTAAGTCTGAAGCAATGCTTGGCTAACCCTTTCCCATTCCAAGAGTACAAAAAGAAAAATTGAGAAAAGAAACTTCATAGTGTCAGATATTAAAAATTGAAAACCTAATTGTATCATGAGGAAGTTCTGGGCAGAAGGTTTCAGTTAAATGGTTACAATACAGGATATTGTACACAGTCGCAAAAGCTAAGTAGACGTGATAACTGTTGCCTTATAATTGGGTAACTGGTTATTTGGGAAAGAGTACCGGTAACCCTTTTGGAAAAGCACATCTGCAAGATTCAACTTTTAGATGGACGTAAGCAACTTACAACCAAAATAGATAAGGATTTATTGAATTTTTTTCAAAAGACGCAAGCGATTTATTAAGACACTTCAACTTGATATGTAAATCATGACACGAGCGTAAAAGGAAGGGGAAAAAAAGCCCGCGTTTTTGAACCAATTACATGCACCTCCCGCAAATAGGTCATGGGTACTCTAACCACTAAGCTACGAGAGACTTGTGGCGAATCATGCATGCCTTCTACAAAATTTACATGTAACACGAGTGTTGCACACTGTTAAGATCAACAATGTCAAAAGCGTCCTGTATGGTGATAAACGAAAGAGAGAGGCAAATTCTTAGTTTTACAAACACAGCAAAACCGCATATTTAAAAGCCTAATTAGTTTTCGACAAGTGAAACAGTTTAATCTGGGGTGGAATGCATTTAATCTCGTTCAATCAGGAAAAAATAAAGATTGGACTAGTTGCCTCCTGTCTTTTTCACATATCGATATTTCCTGAGGCTTTTATAAATTTGATCTTGTTACGACTGTTTAAAATTCCCAAACGGAAGACTAAGAGAAAATAATTTAATTCGGCAAAGATAATCTTAAAAAAGTTCACATGGTGAAAGGTTTGGCTATTTCTGTATCCTCCTTGCAATTTCGTTTTCTTTCTGGCTTCGGATTCCCTCATTAAAATACTACACCCGCCCACCTCGCTCCCCATAGCCCTCTGAAGAACTTTTTCCCTCTCCGATCCTTGGGAATAATGATGTTGATGCGACTTTGGAACTTGTTTGTTTGCTTTCCAAAAATAACATGATTATGTTCTACGTAATAACTCCTTAAAATTTTGAACACGTTTTAGAAAATGGTTATCCTCCACCACAAAGCCATAAGTAGGCTTAATGCGTCTTAACCCTTTCACTGTCAGAGTGCTTGGTGGAGTTTTGTAAGTTGACTCTAACTTTCAAGTCTGTGGATGAAATCCTATGATGTGACCATTCAAATGAGACCTCCCTGCCTGTACTTACACATGGTGCTATTTGTTTTTCAATATTTCTCTCAATGAAGTTGGAAATTTGGTCGAAATTTACTTTTGGCTAGATTTGGCAGTGAAAGGGTTAATGGTGTGAAAATAAAACATACTATAATGACGTTTAGTTTAGATGCTTAAACTGTCTGGAGAGGGTGGAGACTCTAGTACTTTACATAGTGGGTTGTTCTGGAAGAAAAGGGGTATAGCTATGTAAATTGTTCTCTTCCAGAACTGGTATTGAACTCATAATTAACTTGCCCCATCATAATGAGCGTGCTACACGGCAAGGGTATTTTCGGTTTAATTCATGTATCATAAATGGTTATAGAATAACCTGGCATCTTAGAGGAAACAAGTATGTCAAAGGTGTTGGGAATTTAGCAAAGACTCACAGGTATCACACGCAAACATCACACTTGTGTTATCTTGAGTCAATCAAATCTAGTATTATACCGTAAATAATTTGTCCCTTAAATACGCAAGGAAGAATATCTCGAAAACGTTTCTAGTATATTTGCATGTGACAGCTAAATCTCCCAAACTAACTTGAGGAGTTCTTGGAAACTACATAATAAGACCATATTTACAGGATTACTATTTGTTGACTTCTTTCGTCACCCAAGATGTTCCTTTTACGCGTATTATCTTTTAACTACGTTTACTCTGTGAGATAATGTAGGATTAACGAATACTTAAAATTTCTTAAAATACATAAGAGGAGGATTAAAAAATATTTATGAGATAACTCAGTCAGAGAAACAACGCATTATATCGTCTCATTGCCCCGGGCTTGATTAGAACGATTGAAAATGTCTTTTGATGTGTTTTAATTAAGTGCTGCTTGGGTATATCGCTTTAATCCCACACCAAAGAAGAAGAACACGAAAAGAGAGACATGGGCCCAGTTGTTCGAAGGCCGATTAGCGCTAACCTGGGGTTAAATTTAAATCTGGGTTTCTTTTTCATTTGTTGAAAGCATTTTCTGGGATAATATTTTCTCCTTTAAAGCATCCAGTCATCAAATTGTAGACAAAAATATTTAACCTAACTTTTTTTCTTAAGCTTTCATATCTGAATTCAAATCTCGCACTAACCTTGGGTTATCTTTATCCGGCTTTGAACAACCCGGCGGTGGGCATCCCTGGTATTATCACAACCGCTTATCACAATGTTGCATAAACTAACTGTTGGCTTCAAACGCATTTGCGCTTAAATACAATCGAAATTCTATTGGAGGCTATCCCAATCTTTAATAAATAAGACTTGCACCTAGTTTAAATGTAGAACCTTTCATACCGAACGTAATACCTATTTAATATGGGTCGACCAAAATGATGAAGATCGACGGTTGATTCATGAGTCGAACAGTTAATTAGTCGAATTCAATATTCATTATCACATTGCACAGGCAAATGAATCATAGTAAGGTACCGTGCCGACACGAAAGGCTATCAGGTAACGTATGAACAGCAAACATCGTGCCGGAGCGGTTGGCCGGAGAGGGTGTAGTTCTGTAAATTCCAATCCTCACTCCTGAATATTTACTTCCGTCTCAGTGGGTTCTTTTCCTCTTCCCTACTTATTCACTTCCGCTACGGTCCGAATACCTGTTCAACTAATACGCATGCTTTGCAAAATTGCTTTACCTCTTAAGTGACGAAGTCCCATAGTGTTGGCATTCAACTGAAAGCTACTAACTCAGCCTTCGACTTCCTTGTGCCACTTTTCAAAAGTGAACAAAGTAAAGATCCTATGGACGAAATCCTTTCAGGGCTCAAAATAATTTTTGGGTGGCCGGACACGATAACCGGCCAAAGAAATTTTTGCTCCGTCAAGTCCGGTTTCTCACCAATCAAAATACTGGGAAGAAAAGTTAACAAATCCTTGTGTAAGTTTCTATTTGTATTTTTACACAGAGACAAAAAAATCTAATTAAGATTTACAGGTGAGGATTTGGCTGTGTGTTCAAGAATGGGAGTATGCAAGACCGGTCAATATGACCGTCGAGTGAAGTTTTTGGGCAGTCACGTTGCCATTCTGGCCGGACATTGTCCCTTGATTAATCGCTATTTTGAGCCCAGCCTTAACTTGTGACAATTTGGGATAGGGAAGATAAACCGTAGTCTCCGTCTCACACGTCTTGCACATATTCTGTGGGTCTTAAAAGATCCCACACAATAATGTCCTTCAAGTTCGGTGTGGTGGTCTATCTCACTTTCACAATCACATAAGAGGCGTCATTACTCATTCCTTTATTACTTGAAAACTGCACTCCAAGCAGTCTGGCAAACGTCCCTCAACCAGTGTAATAAATTATCCTTGAAAAGCCCTGAGGGGATTCGATGATAAGATATTTAAAATTTTCAATTTACAAGCATTTATACCGAACTTTTTCAGCTGTGGTTTGACCCAAGACAAATTGTTTTTCAGCGCGTGGCAACAAGTAATTTCGTTTTGAATTTTGACTTTGTCCGCTACTAGATGGGAAATTTCTTGAAATAATTCTGAATTGAACTTTCTTCCTTTCCTTTTTCTTTTGTAGGCAGTGCTTGATCTTATGAAAACCAAGTGCAAATGTATTGGGGTATCCGGCTCATGCAGCCTAAAAACGTGCTGGAAGACTGTCCCTGATTTCGGTGAAATTGGGACAGTTCTCAAGGAGAAGTATGACTTTGCTACAACAATTCGCGTGAGCAACCGAAACAGGGGCAAACTTCGACCTTTTCAGCGTAAGTTAAAGGCTGCGCATCGTGACGAGTTTCTGAGGGATCTGGTATTTTATGAATCTTCTCCTGACTATTGTCGACAGGATGCCTCGCTGAGCATTCCAGGGACGAAAGGAAGAGTTTGCAAAGTGGATTCCTTGGGCAGTGACAACTGTAATAATCTTTGCTGCGACAGAGGCTACGATACGGTCCACATGACTATTAAGTCTAGATGCCGTTGCCATTTTAACTGGTGTTGCTACGTTTTATGCGATGAGTGCGTGGAGAACGCCTGGGTGACAATGTGTAAATAATTTACTACAACGCCCGTATCATATGTCAGACTTCACCAAGAGGCCGAACACCGGAATTGACTATTCTGACCAAGACCAGTGAGGTATTGAGAGAGACTCACAAGGTTGGTGGGTAATTCGTGGAAAGGATTTTAGGACACGAAGTACTGGACTGTACTGATGTTAACGTATGCACGGCGTGTTGCACGGTAGAGCGGAGAAGAGACCGGTTACACCGCCAAATTTTCGACGGAGTTCGCAGCCCCCTGTTTTACATCCTTCTTCATATTTCGAACCAAACTATACTCTCCTTTCTAGGCTCAACTTAAAATTACCCACTTTCAAGCCGAGGCTGGAAAATATCTATTCTTCCCAGATCCAAACTTTCATTTTCTGGACCCATCTAGTATCAGCTAAGAAGAGCCAAGACAAACCCACAAACCCATGTTGCTTCTATAAGGGAGTACCCTCATTCGAGAGTAACTTTGTGGCGAACGACATGTTTTATACTGAGTTAACGGTGTTTAATATCCATTTTATCGTCGGTAAAAAATTAAGGTTTGACAAAGAAGAGAATTCGTGTGTGCGATAGACAACTCGGCTGCAAAGAACCACATACAGCTCTGTATTCATTTAAGTGTAGATTTAAAAATAAAAAGGTTATGTAGGAACCAATCCTTGCTGTGGGCAAGATTTTGATGGCGAAAACTAACGTAAATATCATCTGCTTGCTTTAAGTCAAAGGATGTGAAAATTCACTTGAAAGAAAAGGGTTAAGTGATAGGTATAAAAATATCTGTCGATAGTTAACATATACTATTAATAAAAAGATTAGGTCACTGAGTCTTTGTAGGTATATCATTAACTAATTTGATATATAATAAAGTCTTCACATTCTGTTATGATATAAATTGGATAAATGTTGGTGATGTAGCTTTGAAAAAGGGAAAACAGCCTCAACCCTTAATTACCGAACTATGGCAGTTTGCAGTGGTTTCTTCTGAATTACAACCTGACCAGATTTTATTAACAGAGTTTCGGTTACCTTTAAATGAAATTTGGCGTGAAAACTGTAAAGTTCCATTATTCGTTAGAGTTTTTTTTTATTAACTCTAAAAATAATAATGACTTTATAGGTAACACTAATACTGGTAAACCAGTAGTTTCCATGTTGGCCCACAGGGTTAAGAATCCCAGCTAGCGGGAGGCAAATCAGTTGGCTTATTAAAAGCGTGACCGAAGAGTTGAGCTCGGAATTACCGAGAACAAATCTGGCTAGCGGTCATGGCAGGGATTGAAACCACAGCCTCGGAGCCTCCGGATAACAATTCCAACGCTCTATCCGCTCAGCTATGAGCTGATTTGTTAACGAAACTAATTTAAATTAGGACCGGGCAACTCAGTCTCATTCTCTATACTATGAACTTAAAAGAGTCCATACCTTTAGAACTCGGACACTAATGGCTCTGTCCTTTTGGAGTACATGGAAAATGGATGGATAACCGCTTGCTTCAAACGAACGCTTTTATCCGCAAATAATTGATATAAACTGTGGACAAAACAAACAAATGAGAAACGGGAGTGAATATTAGGGAGATTAAGCAGAAGGCGTTCTTGAGCGACGCACTTTAATAGAAATAAGGCATTTTTCCCTTTTAACACGTGACTTGACACTACCAAATTTGTATTGCTCAGTGTCTTTACTCTTATAGAGACATTCTGCCCCCAAATATGGGCAAAGCCACTGCCCCAAAATGCAAAAAGTCTCCTTCCGCTTGACTTCTGTTGCTTAAAAACATCTTTGCACACATAACTACAAAACCGAAATTAATTTACCTTACCCATTGATAGAACTAAATATGCTGTGAAGAAGAAAGATGTTTCTGGGATAGCCCCTTCTTTAGTGTTAAATAGAACAAAACGCAGGCACGTGGGGGAAAAATTAAGTGAAGCATAACGAAAAATGATTATAATGGCAGATCTTCTATAGAAGTTTTAGGTTAATTTCAAAGAAGATTATTTCAGTAGTCCAGGTCTTATGAATAAATGTGGCCTTATTTCCTGGCCACGCATGTCGTATTTCCTCCGTCTAAAGGGGTTTATCACAGATACAGATATGTCATTACCGGAATTGGAAGCCATCGGACAGAATGCGCGACTTGCTTTCACCACTTGAAATTAAATAAGCCTGACTAGCCTCCACTGAGATAATGTATTCTTTTGAATTCTGTACTGAGGAATGAGACTAGTCAGGCTAAATTTAATTAAAACGAAAGAATATTAATCCAGCAGCCATTTCGGTCTATTAGGTGGACGCAAGTGATATATATGGGTGAGTCGTTAAGGTGAATGAATTCTGGACCGGAGACCGAGAGCAAATCCAGCAAGTGGTCAGAGCGGTACTCAAACCCAGGAGCGCCGGATTGCGAGTCCGACGCAATGGCCACTCAGCAACGCTGCCTCCTTAAAGATTTTCAGAAAGGTTTTGGGATGAACAGCTATTCACTAGAGCCTGTACGACTCGGTGAGATCGAAGCGTAAGCTAACGTCCGCACCCACAAGAGTGATGTAACTTGTCAGTGTATCAGTTCTGGGATGTGACGACCTGCACGTGGGGAGGAACGGTGGTTTGTCAAGAGTGGGTGTAAGAACATAACAGATTTAGATTAGCATAATCCTTGTGTTTTTATTTTGCCATAAAACACAAGTTCTGGGGGGTATCTGTTGCGTAATTCAAGAAGTCCACATTTCACCTTTTTTTACACAGGTTTTTTGGTTGGCTCTTGTAAATCTCTCTTCATACTCTTATTGAAAGAAAGCAATTAGTGGAAATATCTTACTTTTTACAATTATTTCTTCATTAAGAACTCTTACAACACTTGGCAGAATTTCTTGTAATCTGTCCATGAGTCAGTTAACTAATGCGATATTCATTTCCTGTACAAAGAATAGGGATAACCCATTTCATTCGTGATGAGGTTGGGCAGTTATGCAAAATTCCTGCATGCCTTCTGTAGAAGGTTTATCGAGTAGGGCAACCGACCAGTTAAGTAGCAGGTAGCCCGAATCACAGTGAGCGAATTGCTATACGCCCTTTAAACACGTTCTCCAGAAATACAGTAAACAAAACAAAGCGATATTTCCGATTAGTCGCGTGCACGCAAACGCATGGTTTGGCTCCAATCCCGTTATTGGAATTGGGTGACAGTGTTTTCAAAAACTGACCAAGGTTTACATACTTTAGGATGTTTTCTTTCGTCGAAAATCTGTTGACATTTTCTTTTAAAACATCATTTGGAAGGATTAAAATCTTGTCAGAAATTCAAGTAAAGGAAATGCCAGTGTTTACTCATTCAAAAGGGCGATCATGTCAACTGACACATCACTGCTCTGTTTGGTCTGAACCGATCTTTTAACCGTGTTAAAAATATCTAGCACGCGATGCCTATTTTGTTTACATGAACACTCCGAAGAGCTTAAACAACAAGCGAGGGTCTTTTCTCCACCTGTTTCTATATGAAGCCTCTACTAACACGATGGTTTGCTTTTTCTGTTCTCAGAGATGGGAGCAACCTCAAGCGCAAATTTGTTTTAATTCGGTTATAAATTGTTCTTTTGATACAAAAGATTATACGCGTTTTTAAAACAGTAAAAAAATTCATCTCATGCCCTCGAATATCAAAGAAGAAATTATTTTATTGGTGGTATAAGACTAGGACAAACTTACTATACAAAGACAATTCGATTGTAATTCTTAATTTGTCTAGTTCAGTTGAAAAATGGAAAAATTCCCTTCTTGAATAATTTTGAGAATCGGCAATACCATTATTAAAGCAATTAGAAATTCTAAAAATAAGTTGCAATTGTTGTCGTTGTTGACAGAGAGACAGTCCCAAAGAGTTCCGAGGAAGGTTAAACACCATGACCCGTGACGTTACTCACAGACTGAAAAGAAGAATCGATCTCATCTTATACAGCACAATTAACTGTACCACTGGAAAGTACTGCTCAACAGCTTTCATTTGAATGGTCAGAAATTAAGATTTCATCCAAAGATTCACGTTAAGTAAGAACCACCTTGTACAGCAAAATGAACAGTACCACAGCAAAAGTACTGCTCAATAGCTTTCATTCGGATGAGAACATTAATTTCATCCACAGACTCAAAAGTAAGAACCACCTTGTACAGCAAAATGAAACTGAGTACCACAGCAACAGTACTGCTCAATAGCTTTCATTTGGATGAGAACATTTTAGAATTTCATCCACAGACTCAAAAGTAAGAACCACATTGTACAGCATAATAAACAGTACCACAGGAAAGTTCTGCTCAGTAGCTTTCATTTGAATGGCCACGCCATAGGATTTCATCTACAGACTCAATTGTTAGAACCACCTTGTACAGCATGATTAACAATACCACAAAAGGGTGGTGCTTATTATTGCACTGAATTGTAAATAACACTTCAGGAATTTCATCGATCCACAGATTCAAAAGTTGGAACCGCCTTGTACAGCAGGAATAAACTGTGTCAACGAAGAGGACACCGGCCATTTGAATCAAGCAGACTCTTGCAATTCATTTAAAGGTGCTTTGTAGCACAAAGTTTTGACTTTGCACAAACTACAAAGGAATCACTGACTCCAAATGAGTTGTCATTTTCATGTTATAGTCTACCTCGAGTGGCCCACCTGGCGCCCAAATAAGGGGTTTTAGAAAAATCCCAAAGGTGCTTATTAAGACCTTGTTTTGTCTTCGTTGTCATTAGGCTATTAGCGAATAACAACAAAACATTATTAAAAATTAATAGAAAGAGATCATTTGGCCTTAAAAAATGATAAAAATATCTATAGGATAGCTAAAAATAGTGTTTCCTTTCATTCTCATTGTAAAGATTAACAAGGCATAACAGCCTGCATCAAATGTACTGAACGCTGCAACAGAGTAGTGTAAAACTACTTTCAGCAATGATCAGTTTTCCATGAAGATAAAAACGTTTGCATCTTATCGGTCTTCTTGA